ACATTTACTGTATTATTCTGCATATGTAATATATATATATATATATATATATATATATATATGGCAAAATTTTGACTCCTTTTTTCCTACATTTGTTTTTACAATAGGAGTTTATTTATACTCAGGTAGATTTTTTTTTATATTTTAGGCAAACAGAATTGGTCACTTATTTCAAAATATGAAATGTTCCTAATATCAACAAAAAAGGACCATTAATAATATGAAATGCTATAATAATGTAAATTTTGATAATTTGGGTTATGCTTTTCAATCAAATTTAAATTTAAATAAATACTAACTCTATAGTTCCATTAATTTTTTTCAAGATGTACTCACTTTTGACTTTACTTATTAAAAATATATATATATATATATATATATAAAATAAACAGTCAATTCCTCCCTGGAGCCCCATGTTAATGTTTACTTCATCTAACATTAAGCAATATTTTGACTTCTTAAACTATAAATTTATCTGTTGTTGAGATTATGAAAATGAAATCAGACTCACATTCCGAGTATGGTAACTTTCAACATTCTAGTTCTTTGGTTTCAAAATTCACAAAACTAAAAAAAAAAACATTCACACAACTGTGTGTATCTTCACTGCATGATTTTATTCCACGAAATGAATATGTTACAAATAATGACTGAGTCATTTAATATTTGTCCCTTAGGAACTATTCTGCTATTAACACACAGATGTCTTGCTAAACATGTATTTTCCCTTTTGAAGAAAGCATATATTAATGATAACATAGGACTATATTCAATCTTTAATATATTATCAAACAATTTTCAATACAAGTTAATCTTTATAACCTTGTTAAGTGTATCAAACAGTTAAAGTGTCTTTATATGTTCACCAGATATCAGTTTTGTCAGTCTCTTTTATTTTTTTAAAATTTTATTTAAAGAAAAACTAAACAAAACAGAAAATGGGTATAAATAATACATATGTTCAGAGAAAAATAAACAGTAAGAAAGCATTAGTTAATGTTTCCATACTGTCCTTTTACAAATAGTTGTTCAAGATACAAAAGTGGAACATGTAAAGTGCGCATTCTAACAGCGAGACTGCAAACAATTCTGTTCAACTATCCAACAAAAACTTAGAAATACGGTTATCAATCCTATACACTTAAACATACATGCAGTTATCCATATCTTTAATTATGATGAGATTGAACAAACCCAAGCAGTCTAATATCACTCTGAACAAAGAATAATACTATTGCTGGGTTTCACATTATGACTCTGCAGAACCAGTACTGGGAACTATAATGTCTCTTTTTCTTCAAAGTAACCCTTCATTTCATCATGTGTCATAAGATCAGTTCTCATAAACTGTTTATAGATACTACACATGCATGAGACTTAACATGTATTTCTATCCTTTCTATATTAGAAAGAGAAACAAAACAAAGAAAGACAAAACAAAACATATTCCTATAAACACAAGAAATGAAAAAGATATACAAGACTGTTGTACAAGGAGTTCTACCATACTTCCTATGTTGTCTCTTGTTATCTTCAATAGAATTGGCTATATCATCAGACATAGTATAATTGAATATATCAGTACATAACAATATTAACAAAAATAGAACTTTGTATAAAATATAAAACTTCAAAAGCAGGCAGTTATCAAACCAGAATGTGTATCAGAGAGTCTTGTCATCTTCAGTATAGTTGCCTATACTCTCAGACTTGATATTACCTGTCATATCAGTTTTGAATAAAATCTGTTGATACCAAACAACAACCAAACAAACCAGATTTAACTAACATCAGTCATGATAAAGCAGTATAAGTCATACAGGGCTTTAGATTAAGATAATAGGAAATGAAAAATGATTACTGTGCTATATCCTGATATTTTTGGGATAGCTGTCTGGGCCCTCAAATCTAATGCAAGTAGACAACTGGGACAGAATAAAATCTATCCAGAAAAAGAATAAAATCTATCTAAGCAGAGTGGTGCAAGTAATGTAGGTTTTAAATCCTGATCCACTATTAACAATATCTTCTGCCATCTGTTTAAGACTCTCCCTCACCTTTCCCTTCCCCAGGGTACACTGTGCACTTTTGGGTCTGACAAAGACCCTTGGTTTTAAATTGTGGGGCAGGGGCAACCTGATATTTACCTAAGTGGTTCTGAACCTTCTCTCTCTTGGACTTGATCTTTAATTGATTCCTTTACCTATTAAAGCCTGTCTTTCCAATCTATCTATAAATACTGGTCTAGTTGCCCCTATTACTTTCTGGTTCTCTATCACATAGAGCCTTGTTTTCTCATATTGATTTTCAGTCCATGTACTCTTTTTCATGTTAATTATATTTCTTATAAATAGCATCTCAGTGGACCTTGACTCGTGATCTGCTTCAAATGTTGTTCTTTATTTTTAATTTAGTATATCAAGGCCATTTATATAAGAGATTATAACCAACCTTCTCTGTTTCATTTTTGTTATGCTCTCTTTTTTGGCATCTGTTGTCTGCTTATCTTTTTCATTCTGTTTTCTGCTCCATTCATTGAGGCCTCTCTGCCGCTGTTCCTGGAATCCTAGTACTTTTCTCTCTCTCTAGAATGCTCTGCAATATTCTCTATAGAGATGAATTTGTGGTTGCAAATTTCCTAAGTTCCTCTTTGTCTTGGAAGCACCTTGTTTCTCTATTAATTACTAGAGACAGTTTGTCAGGATATATCAATCTGGATTGGAGGTTATTCTTTTTCAGGGCATGTAATATATCACTCCAGGCTCTTCTTGACTTGATGGTTTGTGTTGAGAAGTCTGCCATTATTCTGATGGGCCTTCCTTTACAGGTTATCTGTTTCTTGTCTCTAACAGCTTTTAATATTCTGTTCTCATATTGAATTTCTGAGATATTGATTATTATATACCTGGGTGTTGCTCTGTTTAAGTTGTAGGTGCCTGGAGTTCTGTATGCCTCATATACCTGAATATCATTTTCTTTTCCTATGTTTGGCAAGTTTTCCTTAATTATTTCTGTGCATAGCTTTTGTAGTTCCTTTGCTTGTACTCCTGCTTCTTCATTCACATTCTTTATTCTCAAGTTGTAGATTGTCTTGTGGTCTTCTAGCCTTGTATTGTTAGTGCTTGTTTCCTTGTTATTTTTAAAAAGATTTTCCTTCCATAATCCCACATTGCAAAACTATCCTCCAGTTTGGATAATCTATCCTTAGTTTCTTTCAAGCAGATTTGCCATCTTTCCATAGAGTTTTTAATTCTCTGGTAATTGCTTTGAAATTGCTTCATATATTCTATATTTTCTTTATATACGTCATCAAATGGTTCTCTTCTTTGTTTGAGTTCCTCCCTTCTTCCTCACGTGTCTGCTTGAGGGGTGCTTAGCATCTCTTTTATTAATCTTCTTATATCTTCCTTTACTTGGCTAAATATTTCCCTTTTGTGCTTCTCTATGAAGTCCCAAAGCTATCTCTTTATGTCCACTGGTACTGTGTCTGATATTGCATGTTTGCTTTTCTCATTCTCCTTTGTATTTACCTGTCCTGGGTCAATGTTCTCAGGGTTGGGACCTGGGGACTTTTTGTTGTTGTTTTCTCTTCCCATCATTTTTGTTTCTTCCAGGAGGCCCCAGTTTCTTTCTTTGCTGTTTACAATTCTTCTGAAGCATGCTGGCTAGGTGACCCATCCCACTGCAGTATGCTAGTGAGTTGCAGACAGGGGTAGCATATGCTGGCCCCTCCCCTTTGGATCAGTCAAGCTGCTGAAACCTGCACTGTATTACTATGTGCTGCCTTCTCTGTGGATCAGTCAAACTTCCGAGGCTTCACTGTGTGAGTGTGCACCACCACTGTAGGGAATTGATTTCAGATAACCTATTGGGTCTCAGCCAGGTCACATGACCCAGGCCTAGCTCACTCCACCAATCCCATTCAGGAAGAGAACAACTGACTGAAATCACTGCTGCCCCTTGTACTTGCCAGTCCTGCCTGGTCTGAGAATGTCATCTGCTGGAGTGCCCCTTTCTGTGGATTGGCTCCACTCCTGTCACTGCAGGTCGATGCAGGCTCCGTGCCAGCTCAGCTCTTCATTCAGCTGACCTCTGACCTCAGTGTTAATGCCCCTCCAGTAAGTTGAAGCAGCAGAACGTTAGACAGCTCAGCAAGTAGCCCGCTCTGGCAGGAGCACCAAACCTTTAGCTGTTCCAATAATAGCACCTGGACTGTATGTTTGATTGGTTCTTCTCACCTTAGTTTCTTGAGATCAGAGAATTCATCGCCTTCTATTCAGGGCTCTCCAAACTGTGTTATTTTGAATTCTAAGTTGTCTATCTCAAGGAGCCTCTGCAGCCAGCTGTTATCTATCTGCTATCATGTCAGTCTCTTTTAATTTAGCTATTTTGAATTTATCTGGAAGCAGAAGAGACCTAGAATAGTGAAGCCAATCTTGGGCAAAAAGGCAAGACAGGAGGCATCACAATCTCTGATTTGAAATTGTACTACAAATCTATGGTGATAAAATCGGCATAGCACCCCCCCAAAAAAACCCCTCAGAACTAGTGTAACAGATTAAGAACATGCAGACATAACTACAAAAATACTCACCCATCTAATCTTTGACAAAGGGGCCAAACATATGTACCGCGAGAAAGTCAGCCTGATTAATAAATGGTCCTTGAGAAATTGGCTCTTTGACAGTCAAAGCCTTAAACTAGACTCATGTCTAACACCATGCACTGAACTAAATTAACAATGAATTGAAGACCTAAATATTAAAGCAGAAGCAATTAATCTACTGGAAGACAAAGTAGATTAAAAATGTGGAAGCCAAAGGAGTAGGCAGAGAGTTCCTGAACCAAGCCCAAACATCATGGGAAACACTTTAAAGGATGAACAGGTGAGATTTCACATTATTAAAAAGTTTTTGTGCAGCAAAGAAATCACCAAAAGAATGAAAAGACAACCCATAGAGTTTGAAAAAGTTTTATCTGTCCCCCAGAAATTGATTTATATACTTACCTGGCAGGGGAGACACCATGATCATGAAGGTTTTGTTCCCAGGGCAAGGCTTATCCATTGCACTGTAGATGTGCTGACTCCTGAAAATTCCCTAAATGTGGGAAACTTTATTACATAATTTGTGGTAATGAAGTACTATGTACATGCTTTCCCTAGGTTAAAAAAAAAATGAAAGAAAGAAGGAAATAGATACACACACAGACAGACACACACACACACACACACACACACACACACATTTTACAAATAATTGAAAAAATCAGAACCACCAAAAGTCAAAGACCCCAGTCCAAAAATGTACATATGAGATGAACACACACTTCTCAGGAAAATATATAAATATCAAATAAATATATGAAAAAATATTCAACATCATTTGTCATTCAATAAATACAAATTAAAACAACATTAAGATTCCATTTCACCTAAGTAAGAATGGCTATCATCAAGAAATATACCAATAAATAATGCTGATGGGGATATTAGGGAAAGAGAACACTTCTCCAACTGTTGGTGGAAGTATAGACTAGTACAACCACTATCAAAATCAGCGTGGAGATTCCTCAAAAAAACTAGGACTCGAGGTCCTGTTAAAACCAGTTATTCCCCTTCTGAATATCTTCCCATATGAACTGAAAACATCATAACACAGTGAAACATATCTACCCATCTTAACAAAAACACATTTGTAATAACTAAATCTTGTAAATGACCTAAATGGTCATCAAACAAGAAATGGATAAAAAGGTGTAATATTTTTCTACAATGAAGTGCTACTCAGCTATAAAGATGGATAAACTTAAGACATTTATAGGGAAATGGATGCAACTTCAGACAATACTCATAAGTGAAATAAATCATATTCACATATGTAGACAATGTATTATTGTCTCCCTAATGTAAGAAGATGAAAAAGTAAATACCACCTAAAATGTACAATGAATATTTTTAAATGGGAAGAAACTATTCAAAAGGAAAGGAAATTGTGATGGAGGAATGAAGAAAAGAAGGAAGGTAAAAGGGGTTAAAAATATGTGCACACAAAATAATTAGATAGTTATGCTACTAATTGCTATTATTTTATTGAAAAGAAGGGTTTATGCCTACATTGTTTGATCAATTTTTCATGCCTACATCTTGTAATATATGCAACTACTTTGATGATAACAATATGCAATATACTAACCATTGTTACTCCTCTACATTCTTGTTTTGAAATTTTGTCCCGTTGTATTTTTTTTTTCCTTTAAAATAAAAAAAAATGGCCATTTTGCTACGCATGGTCAGGGTTCATCTATATACTCAGTTTTCTTTTTTTCTTTTTCAGAACTAATTAGACAAAATATATATTATGTTTTTATTTTTCCAGGAACACTTACAGAAATATCAGTGTCTATTCACAATCCTAAAAAATCATTTCTCAAATTGAGTGTTCTTAGATATGTATGTTCATTTTGTAACTCAATATATTATTCCTTTAGTCAATATTCCAGTTTTAGATGAATGTCATAATTTGTTAATTATTAAAGTCTTATAGTGATTCTAAAATTTGTGCCTTAGGTGTCCCATTGAAACCTTTTAAAACTGTTTTTTTGTCCTTTTTATTAATTTTAGTAAGTTTCTCAGTAGTAATTTTTAAAAATTATATATTTCTACTGAATGTTGAATGTTGTATATTTAGAAATGCAGAAACATTAGAGGACACAATTTCCTTAGGAAAGAATTCATTACATTTTTTTTATAATCTACATGGATCTGTTCTTCAAAATTATCAGTATCTAGGAAGATCAAGGCAGATTTAGAGACTCCCACCACATCATCTTCTAGTTTATCCCAGCCTTTGAATGTTCCTTCAAAAGCCCAACAGTGCGACCCAATGTGATAATTGCAGTTTATCCTTATTTGACCCAAGTTTCAGTTGTGGGCCATAACGACTTGCTACATGAGAACCACAAACATAAGGGGAAGGATAAAGAAGAAACAGAAAAAAGAATTGGAATTTGGATAATATGGAAGAACAAAATAAATGGAAATGAGAAAAAGGGGGAAATGTGTCAGAAAAATCTCAAAATAAAATACAGTAGGCCAATCAAATTTACATTTATGTTTGAAAAAATATAATACTATATTTGCCCATATTAATGGGGTTTAATATACTTCCTTAGAGGCATACCATGTGATCTGATCAAATCAAGGGGAATTTTTTCACTCTACCCTAACTGAAATTTCTGGTCATCACCATAACCAAACTATGTCTATCAATTAGATCATGTTCAATTCTATTCAACAGTGTTTCATAGTTAGTAGCATATATCCAATGCTTTGATAGATGTAGACTAATATTTAATTTTTGATTGTACATTTATTCATGAGTGTACATGTAAATATATTCACTTCTATGTTTACACCTATCTGCATACATGTATATGAAAAGCAGGACCAATTTTACTGTGGCATGTAACATTGACATTTTCGTAGAAGTATTTTTGGCATAATTTTTCTAAACTATATATTAGAAATTATGCATTATTAAAGTGTTTAAAGTACTGTATTGTCATTTTCTGCATTAATGTAATTCTATATGAAAAGACTATTTTATTTATTTCTAAACAATTTGTTGTCTTTTTACATGATTATGTCTCAAGAAAAATTTCAAAGACAAGTAGTAGCAGAGGAGAGCCCTAATTTCTTTACAAACCAAGTAGTTGGTTAGTCTCTCCACAGTAAAGGACCACAATCTAGAACACGAAACAACAGGAATTTATTTTTATGCAAGTCACCTGCTGAAAATTACAGTTGTGAAAGCCTGATCTCAATTGCCTGTCTTATTCGGCAGTCCTCCTCTGCTGTTATTCCTGGAACTGTGGTCATGTTTATCTCTTTCTAGAAGAGCCTTCAGCACTCTCTGTAGGGTTGGTTTGTTGGTCATGAATTCCTTCAGTTGTACTTTATCATGGAAGTATCTTATTTTTTCCATTAATTTTGAAAGATAGTTTTGCAGGTTAGATCCATCTGTGTTGGAAGTTATTTTCTTTCAGAATTTGAAAAACTTTACTCCAAATTCTTTTTGACTTGATGGTTTGGGTTGACAAGTTTGCCATGATTCTTAATGGTTTTCCTTTATAGCTGATATGTTTCTTTACTCTGACAGCTTTAAATATTTTGTTCTTGTACTGAATTTCTGGGATGTTGATTATTACATGCCTTGGTATAGATATGTTTGGTTATGGCTAGCTAGATTCTTACATGCCTCATTTATATGAATGTCAGACCCTTTAACCATGTTTCTTTGGGAAGTTTTCTGCTATTACTTCTGTAAACAATCTTTTTATTTCATTTGTGCTGGTCCCTCTTTCTTCAATAGTATCTATCACTCTTTGATCCTCTTGAGACTGTTGAGTTGTTATTTCCTGATTGCTTGTTATTTTAAAATAGCTTTCCTTTCATGATCACTCACTGAAATCCAATTTTCAAGGTTTGAAAGTCTACCTTCAGTCTCTTTATTAAGCAGTTTTGCAGGTTTTGATTGATTTTAATTTTCTGGATATCTCTTTGAATCTGCTTCATGCCTTGTAATTCCTTTCTATATTGTCCCTCCAAAGTTTCCATCATTTTTCCTAAAGGGAAAGGTAGAGCGGCAACAGCAGGAGAACAGTATGGCAGAGACAAACTAATGCATACTGTTTATAACCATTAATGTAGTTCAACAATAAAAATAAACACAGCGAGAGTGAATCTAGAAAGAAAATCTATTAATATACTGTATACAAAAAAACACATTTAACTGGAAAGGAAATTCATAGATTGAAAATCAAAGGAGGGAAAACAATTGTTCCATGCAATAGGAGACCACAAATAAAGCAAGGGTAACTGCTCATCAGCTACAAAATGGATAAGAAAAATACGGTATTTTCATACAATGGAAAGCTACACTACTATAAAGTAGAATAATCTTGAGGCTTTTTTAGGTAAATGAATGCAACTGAAAATCATGTATCTGGGTGAAATGGTTTGAAATCATACAGGTGAACCCTAGTATAAAAAACAGAAGAATTTAGTAGAATCTAAAAATCAAAACAGTTATTGTAAAAATGATAGGGAAGAAAACACCTTCGAGGGAAAGATTGTAACTACTGTTAATTTCTTATTGTCTTATCTTGAACTCTTATATTGTTTTCACAATTTTGCTCGGTTTGGCTTTGTTTTGTCTTTTTTAATTAGGTTTATCTTTTTTTTTTTTTGATGGTATGGGCAGTTATTTTGATATGGGATGTATTATGGTAATCAAGATTGGTTTTCTTATTATCTTGTTTTGAAGTCTTATAATGGTTTCATTCTTTTGTTTAATTGGTTTTCTGCTGTTTTATTTGCTTGACTTTATTATGTACAATGGTATGAACAGCTTTTTTGAGGAAAACAACATTATATAGTAGCTATTGCTGATTTCCTATCATCCTGTTTTGAAGTCCTATCATGCTTTTATTTTGAATGCTTCTATTATGTTGTGTTTTATTTAATTTTATTATCTGTGATAGCATGGGCTACTTTTTGAAGAAAAGGAGATATTAATCATTGTTCATGTATTGTTATCTGGTTTTGAAGTCCTTTAATGCTTTCATTCTTTTGATGGGTTATATACTATTTTATTATATGTATATTGTTGTGTGTGAAGGTTTTCTAAGAGAACAAGGGACATTATGGTAGCCACTTTGAAACTCTGTTGTCTTGTTTTGAACTCTTAGGCTGTGTGAATTGTTCTGTTCTGATTAGCTTTGTTTTGTTTTGTTATCTTTACAATAAAAAAATTGAAACATGGGATTGGGCATTTAACTCAGTTGCATAAGGGCCTGCCTTGCAAGTGTGTAGGCATGAGTTTGATCCCCATTACCGATAAAAAAGAGAAAAAAAAAGACAGAAAAAAATTAAAACAAAGAAAACTTGATCTGTCCCAAGCCTCCAATAGTTGACTCATGAATGTCCACATCCTCACTTAGCCCCACATGATGTTCTCTCCTTGTATTGGCATACCCACTGTCCACATGGTTTTCTGCAAGCATGAGACAGATTATACTGTGAACCCACTACAAACCCTCAGTTCATCTTAATTAACCCTTTATATATTCATTTTCCTATTTAGTCATTTTGAAAAAA